CCACCATCGGGTGGTGATCCGAATCTATTTCATGTCCTATTTCTAACCTTTCTATTTTCCTTCTCCCTTCTCTATCTGCTATCACGTAGTCTATGACTGTATTCCCTCTTCCTCTCGTGTAGGTGAATTCTCCTTCCTCGTCTCCCTTTATATTTCCGTTCAATATTTCCCATCCGCTCTCCTCTATCACCCTCACCATCTTCCTCCCCTCCTTATTTATTTTCTTGTCTTTTGACTTCCTTCCTCTCTCGCCCTCCCCCTCCCCTCCCTCTCCACCCCTCCCGCTTCCCCCGTTCTCGCGTTAAAATCTCCCCCTATTAACGTTCTTCCTCCTTCTCCTTCCTCCATCCAATCTTTAATTCCGTCCATTTTTCGTTCCAGATCTCCATTCACATACACTCCCATAATTCTCCATCTTTTCCCTCCTGCTCTCACTACCCCCTTCATTCTGCCCTCCTCTTCCTCTTCTTCCCCCTCCTCCTCTACCACCCTCATTTCCTTTCTTATCCCCAGCAACATTCTCCCACATGCCCTCCCTTTTTTATTCTTTCGTCTCGCCAATTGTACCTTCCACATATATTCCCCTGGCAACCTCCCCCTTATCCTCTCCCACCCTTTCCTATCCAACCACGTTTTCATCATCACTACTACTTCCCATTCCTTTAACCTCTGCCAAAACTCCTTGTCCTTATTCGCTATTCCTGCTACATTCCAGAACGCTACTCTCCATCCTCCCTTCTCCCTTTTTTCCCTCTCCTTTTTTCTTTCCTCCTCCTCTCTCGCCTTCTCCCCTCTTCCCCCCACACTCTTCCATCCCTTTTTCCTCCTCCTTCCTCTCCCCCTCTCCCCCTCCCTCTTTTGTTCCCTCTCCCCTGTCCTATCCTCCGCCCCTGCTCTCTTTTCTTGTTCCTTCTCTTTTTCTTTTCCGCCTTCCTCTTTATTTCCGTCCTATCCACCTCCCCCTCCTCCCCCATTCCCTACCCTCCCGCCCCCTTCCCCTCACCTCTCCCTCCTCCCACACCCTCCCTCCTCCATCTCATCCTCCCCTCCCCTCACTTTACCTATCCTTCCCCCTTCCTTTCTTTCTCCCTCCACTTCTGCCCCTTATCATTCCTCAATACTTTTTCCTCCATATCCCATCTCCACCATTCCTCATTTATTCTCACCCTATTCCTGTCAATAAACGTCCTTTTTCCTTTTGCTTTTTCCTCCCTTGCCACCCTTCTTACATTCCATCTCCCCCTTCTTTCTTCCACCGTTAAATCTTCTTCTATCCATATCTCCCTCCCTTTCAAGTTCTTTTTCCTTTCCAACACTCTCTTTCTCTCCTCCCCACTTTTCATTTCCACCCCTATCATTTCTCCTAGTTCTTCTCTATCTACCTTTATTTTCCTTATCGTTTCTATCCTTGCCTTCGCTCCTATTTCCTTCAATAATTTCTCCACTTCTTCCTTCTCTCTCCCATTCTCTATTCTTAACCCTCTTATTATAATATTCCTTTTCCTACTCTCCCTTTCCTTCCTTTCCATTTCCCTCTCCATTCTCCTTATTCTCTCTTCCATCTCCTTTTTATTTTCCTTTTCCTTTTCCTCTCCCTTCTCCCCCTTCCCCTCTCCTCCAACTTATCCACACTTTCCTCCAATTTCCTTATCCCCTCTCCTCTCTCATCTCTCCTCCCCTTCCCCTTCCTTTCTTCCCCTCTTCCTCCAAGCTCCTTATTCTCTCTACCATTTCTCTCCTCTCTTTTTTTCCATCTCTCTTCCTTCCTCCTCATCTCCTCCCTCATCTCTTCCATCCTCTTTTCTATCCCCTCCAATCTTTCCTTCATCTGTTTCTTTATTTCTCCTATATCTTCCCTAATCCCTATTGCCATTTCCTTGCCCATTCTCTCGCACATTACCTTAAACCTCTCCTCCTCTTCCCCTCCTCTTCCCAACTTCAGCTGCACCTTTTTCCTTTCTCCTCCCGTCTCCCCCCTCCCCCCTCTCCCCTTCATCTCCTCCCTTGTCGCCTCTCTCTTTCTCTTACTCCATTCTACATTCCTTCCACTCCCTGCACTCTCTACACTCCCTACACTTCCTACACTTTCCACACTTCCCCTGCTTCCAGTGCTCCTCAATCTTTCCCTTTCCCCTCTTTCTCCCACTAACCCCCTTAAGTCTCCTTTTTTTCCATCCCCTATCTCCCTTTCTAACTTTTCTCTCCCTTTTCTTCTTTACAAGTCCCTCTGCTCCCTACTTACTTCCTCCTTTACTCACTTCCCTCTGGCGCTGTTACCTCTCCCGTCACCCACTGTTACCACTCTATCTCCACTTTACTCCTCTATACTCTATGCCCTTCTTCCTGCCTTGTCACCCAACCTTCTTGCTCCTGAATTCCTTTCTGCCCTGTTCCACCTTCCTATCCCTTTCCCTTCCCCTCCCTCTCTCCCCTCCCCTCCTCTCCCGCCCTTTCACCCTCTCACTCACTCTCGCACCCACACTCTCTCTCTTTCTCACCAAATTCGCGTTACAATTTCTCGCTACTCACTCGCACGTCACACTCCTACGCTACCGGAAACGGAAGTGGCTGCGATTTGAATGATCTTCATTGATAACTCTATTGTGAATAATTTAACTCTTAAAAGCTATTATCAAAGATAATACCCAGTCAAAATCATAACGTTGATTTGACATTGAAATGGATGATAAAGCGTTGAATCAACGTTAATTCGATTCATCAACGTCAAATCAACTTTGAGGCAACGTTGTGGTTCTGCCTGGGTGTCATTAATGCTACCATAGATGAAATTTCATTCCATATATGTAGGAAACGCAGTTCTGCTAGGCTAGTGACACAAGATGCAACTGATCGGCGAGAGGAAAAATAAACTTAGAATTTGCTCAAGAATTTGGTATATTAAGGACAATTAATTGTTCTGGATTACCCTGTATGTAAACTTTACTAAACAATATAACCACTGTGCAACACCAATAACGATATAGCATATTAAAATTGGGTACCTGGCACGAATTTCTATACCCAATAATACTATATATAATGCCATTATGTATAAATGTATTCACAATAAAAATAAAAAAGAACATAATTAAAATAAATATTAATTATAAAATAAATATTAATTAATATTAAATTTATGTTAAGATTTGATATTATGCTCTTTTTTACTCACATATTAATCTTGTTGTTACAATATTTTAATTTTCGTTTAATATTACATACACAACACAACACAACAATCAAATAGTAACCGCTTCAGTTTTCAATCATTGTAGCTCTCATTGTCATAAAGTAAGATGAAACTGCTTTCAGGAACTGTAACAATAAATTTACATTTAATTATATTATGAAGCAAATAAGTAAATATGTTTAGAAGATTATGCATCACTAACTTTATCGCCATTTAAATATATTGTAATAAAGAATGTTGTGAGTTACTTTTAGCAAGAATTAAATAGAAGATTATTTCATCCGACATTCGTTATTGAAATATAACAAAATGAAGTTTAACATTTAGATCTTTTATTCTCCTTTCTACACCTGCACTCCTATCCCTTTTCTTTTTTTTATCACGATGGGGAAATCCTCATGGATTCTCCCGCCCTTTGGGGGAGGGGGCGGGGGATATGCCGGACTCTTACCGGCTAAAACTCCACCGGAGTGTCTTTCAGGCGGGCCGGAGTGGAGGGAGAACTGCACCTGCACTCCCTCCCCGACTGCATTCCTATCCCTAAAACACTTTTTATGCATAGGAAATATTCAATAAGACATTCTCGATCCTCGGAAGAAGAGCCGCAGGTTATGTAGAATTTTGTCCCTAAATCACTATCGTGATTACTTTCTTTTACGCAAGGGAAGTTCTTGAATTTCTTGTAATGATCAAGAACCTCCTCTTCCTCTTTTGGATCTCAATTGTTCAGAAACTATTCTCAGGAGAAAAGAGGTCAAGCAACACATTTCTCCCTTATAATAAGTCAGAACCATACCGATCAGCCTCTCAAATCCAGGGCGGCATGCAATGGCGAACGTAACGCGCTCACTCACGCGCCTATTCTGATGACGAAACCACTGAAAGCGATCGCAAATTACGCTTCCAGCCCGTTGTCGGACAAAGGCATCGAAAGAGGCGGAAGGAATCGTAGAGAATGCCTTGTACTCTCCTGGGTTTACCGTTAGCCAGCAGCGCTTCAGCAGGAGTTGATACTTTCTATTTAGAAGGGGAGCGCTTCTGCCGAGGTGGGCGCTCTACCACCGCATATGAGCCGAGAATCATGTTTCTTGCCGCTTTCTCTTAATTCTTCTTAACGTCCTTCTACTGCAGTATCGTCTGCTCTCATAAGGAGACTGCCTACTACGATATTTCATAACTGACCATCACATGGACGACGACCGGTAGCAAAAGATCTCCCCTATGGTGACCACGAAGGCACGATGCTCTTCCGCCCACGCGGAATGCTCCTCGTGTGCACCAGTTACGGACACTCCTAAAACTATAACCTAACCTAACAAGTCTTACCCTGTATAAATTATATAGTAATAATCAGGATTGGGAAATAACTTCTTCGTTACTTGTAACGAAGTTATGGTTACAGTTATTTCTTTCGGTAACTATAACTTATTACTGTGATTAAAAAGTATCCGACCTTTATTTTTTAAAAATCGCGGGTAAACTGTAAATCAAATCCGTTTGCTTTCTTAAGTTGGCACACATGTCCTTCGAATTTAGTGAAAAAATCATGGCGTTCCTTTAAGCCGTTTGAAAGTAGCAATTGTTTATGTCAGTAATTGTTGTGCATGGCAATTTTTATGATGTCGAAAAATATGGAGCAAAGAATTTGTTTGAAATTTTGTGTTGCAAACGAAATTTCGTCCACAAACGCATTCAAAATGTTGCTTACGGCGATGATTGTTTATCGCAAACAAGTACATTGGAGTGGTTTAAGAAGTTTTAAGAAGGACGAGAATCTGTTGAAAACGACCCATGCTCTTGAAGACCATCAATGTCAACGGACGCTCACATTGAGAAAGTGAAAGAATTGGTGCTCCAAAATCTTCGACTGACTGTGCAAGAGATAGCAGATGAAGTTGGAATATCATTTGGATCGTGCCAGCACACAAGATCCATAAGAAACAACCGGAATTGCGGGAAAATAACTCGTGGATTTTGCATCACGAAAACGCACCATCGCATACCTCGATACTTGTGCGTAAATTTCTAACAAAAAACTCAACGAATGTCGCTCCGCATGCACCGTATTCACTAGACATGGCCCCTTGCGACTTTTTCCTGTTCTCCCTACTGAAAAAACCATTTCGCGGACAGAGTTTCGAATCGATTGAGGACATCAAAGGAAAATCGCTGCGTGAATTAAAGGCCATACCGTCTATCGCATATGAACGATGTTTCCAGGATTGGATCAAACGCTGGCATATGTACGTTGCAAGCAATGGGGACTACTTTGAAGGAGACTATAAGAATTTTGATGATTAAATTGTAATTTTGATTTTTAAAAATAAAATTCGGATACCTTTTCAGTCACAGTAATAACTTCGTTCCGTTTCTTCCATCTGTAACTGTAACTTAATTTAGTAACTAATTTAATAGTTACTTTAATAGCTCCCATCGTATCCCCGTTCCCGAGCTAGAGGACAGGGATTGGACGGAAGACCTGGAGCGGTTAATCCGAGCGAGTTTGCCAGGGCAGGGAAGAGGCTCGGGGGCAAGGGGAAAGCCCCTGGCCCCAACAATATTCCTGGCCGCGCCTAGGCGCTGGCTCTAACAGGTGAAAGCCTATCCCTGAGTCCCTGAGTCCCTGAGGCACATGTGAACAAGTGTCTCAGAGAAGACGTGTTTCCCCCAGAATGGAGGAAGGCGACTCTTGTTTTCCCGAAGAAGGGCAAAGCACCCGGAGACCCTTTTACCTACAGGCCGATATACCTGCTGGACGAGGAGGGCAAGATGTTCCAGCGCATCATTGCCCACCATCTCGTCCAGCACTTGTCCCTGGAGGGTCCGAACCTTCACGACGACCAATACGGTTTCAGGGCGGACCGGTCCACCCTGGACGCGATCCAACGCATCCGGGAGCTAGCCCGCCACGCCGTGGAGGATGATGGGGTGTTGTTGGTGGTGTCGCTCAACATCTTGAACGCCTTCAACACCCTATTCTGGTCGGAGGTGGGACGGGTCCTCGAGTATTATGGGGTGCCCGTCTATCTCCGGCAAATTCTATCGGATTACTTCAGGGACAGGGACCTTCCCTTCACCTCAAAGGGCGGGGTCTCGAGCCGAAGGGTAATGTACTGTGGTGTCCCGCAGGGGTCCATACAGAGCCCGTTGCTGTGGGACATCACGTACGACGGTGCTTCGTACCGCTCTCCCCCCTAGCTGCCACGCCATCTGCTACGCAGGCGACACACTCGTGGCGGCCGGAGGACGAAGCTAGAGCGATGCACGCCTTTGCGGCGAAGCTGCGGCGGTATCCGTAGTAGGCGCCATCTAAAGCCTGGGACTGCAGGTGGCTTCCCGCAAGACGCAAGCAGTTTACTTCCATGATGGAAGTCGCGAGGCGCCGCCACAGTCTTGGGTGAGGGTGGATGCAGTCCGCGTCCGCATCGGGCCACAAATAGAATATCTGGGCCTGGTGCTGGACGGCCGCTGGGACTTCGGGACCCACTTCCGGCGGACGGCTCTCCGGGTCCGCAAAATTGAGCTGACACTAGCCAGCCTGATGCGGAACCAAGAGGGTCCGAGCTGGCACGTTCGCCGCTTTTACGTAGGCGTGGTCGTCTCAGTCGCCTTGTACGGGGCCCATATGGACACCCCGATTAATGGGCGCCGACCGCTACAAGCGCCTGCTTCGGCAGGCGTTGCGGCCGGTGTTCATCAGGGCGATCCGAGCATATAGGACCACGTCCTACATGGCGGCGACGGCCCTGGCCGGCCTTCCCTCCGTGGAGCTCCTGGCCCGCGAACGCCATCAGGTGTTCTGGCGGGTCAAGAAGCTCCGCGGTGAGGGAGAGACGATTACGGTCAAGGAGGTGGCGGCCCTGAGATCTCAGGCCAGGGACCGGGCGCTTGAGCAGTGGCAGCAGATGCTGCACGACTCTCGGGTGCCCGGTCTCTGAACGGCCGAGGTCGTCCGTCCCTGTCTCGCGGACTATGCAGACAAGAGAGAATGCGGACTCTCCTTCTGGATGGTGCAGGTCCTGATGGAGACCATGAAAGAAGGAGGGCGTACTAGGTGGCGACGGGACGCCGTGCGTTTGGGACCTGCATCTCATTTTTCGTTCTGAAGAGAAAAAAGTATCGAGAGCGCGGTAGTCGCTAGACCGGGAATCGAACCCGGGTCTTTTCGCTTGCCGGGCAACTGTTCTAGACCACTGAGCTATCTGACGCTCCACACTCACGACACTCTCTTCTCCCTAAATAACGTTGAGAGATGTCATTCGGAAGTGACATCTCTAGTGCTATCCCGAGCGCACGGCGACTACAGAGAGAGGCATTGTTACTTGTACCTAGTGGTACAAGCTGGTGGTCTCTCAAAATCTTAGGTTGCTATCCTTTAAGACCTACTGTCCATGTATGCCGGCCTCCACCGTTGCCCCTCCTTATCCGGTACAAATAATAGAAATAAGCTCCGGGGTCGACGCCATATTTTGGCTGCCCCGGGCGCTTGGACACTTTTTTTTGCAACACGCCGAACTTCAATTGCAAATTTAAGAAAACATATGAATGTAAGTCTTTATTTATAAAACATCAATATATTTCTTAGTAAAAAAATTTAATTTGTAATATTAAAATTACTCTTACAAGGAGAGTATCACAACTGTCCCTGACCGATTTGAATGGGCTTCGGATATGTTGTAGAGCATCAAAAACTAAGGAATACATATTTTTTTATATCGGCTTCGGAGCATGTTTAGGGGATGAAACCACCTCTTGAATAAAGTAGCCATTGTCGTTTTTATCAAATTTTCTCATTTTATCATATTTTCTAAATTATGAGTCATATGAAAAAAAGTTTCAGACAAAAGTTTTGCAATATTTTATGCTCTTTGCAACCATGTATTCAGTTTTTTAAAATTTCAAATGCTGAACTACTCCCCCCTTTCGTTATCCTGGCAAAATTTTTAAATTTTTGTAAGGACAAAAATTGTAAAGCATTAAATACCAAATCCATCCGTATATAATATTGGAAAATGGTATTTAATATTTTGGACAAAACGCAATGAGAAACTTCATGGTATATGTGTCACGCTGCCCGAATAGATAGATACTGTAGGTAGGTACGCTGTGATATTTCTCTGCAATTGCACTATACTTCACGACTGTTTATGCATATTTTCTTATGCTATAATTAATCGTAATGATATGATATTAGTCTCACGATGTTCGATTGTGTTAATGATTTTCTATTGGGTGTACAAATTAGTTCGGTCCGTTTTCAAAAGATGACTCCGGCTGTTATGAATGATTCATAGTGACTGCCGATTTTGGCGGTTTCAGAGAGGTTAGACATCTGCCAATAATATTCAGTTTATATCGCTTTGTGTTTCATACAAAAACCTTGCTTTTCACAGTGTTGAAAATGTCGAATTTTGTGTTAACCAAGCAGCATTTGCGAGAGATTTTAATTTTCTGCTTTAATTGGAAGAAAAGTGCAGCTGAATGCTTGTTGAAGTTTATGGTGACGCTACTCCAACTGATAAATCATGTAGGGAATGGTTTCGACGTTTCAAGGATAGAAATTTTAGCGTCGAAGACAAGCCTCGCTCTGGACAGCCAAAAAAATTCGAGGACAAAGAATTAGAGGCATTACTTGAAGATTAGAGTCGAATTGCAAGAGGAGCTTGCAGAATCATTGTGAGTGACTCAACAAGCCGTTTCCGTACGATTGAGAGACATGGGAATTATTAAAAAACAAGGAAATTGGGTGCCTTATGAACTGAAACTGAGAGACGTTGAAAGGCGTTCTTCATGACAACGCTCGGCCTCATGTCGCAAAAGTCGTAAAAAAATATTTGGAAACGCTCAAATTGGATGTTTTACCGCACCCGCCGTATTCTCCAGACATTGCTCCTTCTGATTACTGGTTGTTCCGAAGGATGCAGCACAATTTAATAGGTCACCGGTTCACTTCTTCGCAGATATCGAAAATTGGCTCTAAACTTGGCTCGCCTCAAAAGACGAGTCATTTTTTCGAGATGTAATTCGAAAATTGCCTGAGAAATGGGAGAAAGTAGTATCCAGCGCTGGAAAATACTTTAATTGATCTGTTCATTCATTTTATTTTGAAATAAATACAAAGCAAAGTCAACTGTGTCGCAGTGCATCAAAAACAATTTATTTGTATTTTACTTCTATAAATAAATTTTGTTCTCGTTTCGCATGAAACAGACTCATGTGATCGTCATGCACACTATAATTGGCTCATCTGATCGTATTGCGCACTATGTAGACTATAAAAAGATCTGTAATATTTGAAAACGGGCAGTTCATTTCATGAGTTCATAGTGTAAAGAAGTGTGTTATACACTATAATTTTGTGGAGACTTCCGCTTCCGGAGTGCGAGTGAGAGTGTGGTGATAAGAAGCGTGTGTGAAAGAATGATTGAGAGAGGGAAAAGGGGAACGGGAGAGGAGAGTGGAGGTGCGAGAGAGCTAGAGGGAGAGGTGAAGTGAAGGGAGGAGTGTGGGTGGGACTTGGGAGGAGACAGGAGAGGAGGGAGTGGAGGGAAAAAAGTAGGAGAAAAAGAGATTAGGAAGAGGAATGCAAGTAGAAGGGGCAAAGAGTATAGGAATATAGAAGAGTGGAAGCAGGAATAAGAAGGAGCAAGGTAGGAAAATAAATTAGACGAAAGAGAAGACACGGAATTGGGTGATGAGGGAGAAGAAACTAGGGAGATAGGTACTAGGAAGGAACTAGAAGAACGGGCGTGATAGACGGGCAAGAAAATAAGATAAAATAGGTAAGGTGACGGAAAGGGGAAGAAAGTTGGGTGAAGAGCGAGGTAGAGGCGTAGGGGTGGAAAGAGAAAGAAGGGATGAGTCGGGGAACAGGATGGAGGAGTTTTTGAAGAGGAAAAGGGAGAAAGAGGAAAGAGGCAGAGAGAGGGAGAAGGAGGACAAGAGGTGCAGCAATTTGCATTCAAAAAGGGGAGAAGGACGATGAGGTCGCCACAAAAAAGAGAGGAAGAGAGAGAGGAGGAATAGAAATGGTATGGTGGACGGGAATAAAGGAAGAGTGGAAGAGGGAAATGAGGGAGGGGTTACAGGAGATGAAGGAAGTGCTGAGAGAAGAAGTGAGAGAACAAGGGGAGGAGATTAGAAGAGAACTGGAAGACCTGAAAAAGAAAATGGAGGAAAGGGAAAGAGAATGGAAAAAGAAAGGGAGGAATTAAGAGAGAGAATAGAAAGGTTAGAGGGTGAGGCTAGAAGAAGGGATGAGAGGGAAACAGAAGAGGAAGAGGTAGAAGAGGTAGAAGAAGAGCGAAGAGAGAAAGAAACAGAAGAAAGAATGAAAGAAATAGAGAGAAGGATGGAAATGAGAGAGAGAGAGAGAGAGAGAGAGAGAGAGAGAGAGAGAAAGGGGAGAAGAAGGAATATAATCGTAAGAGGGATGAAGGGAGGAGAAAGAGAGATAGGAGAGAGGCTGAGGGAGACAATCAGAGAATTAGGAATAGAGGTGGAGATGAAGGAGTTAAAAAAGGTGAGAAAGGATAAGGAGACAGAAGTAGAGAGAACGATAATAAGAGTAGAAAGCATGGAAGGGAAAAGGGAGATAATGACAAGAAAGAAGGAGATACAAAAAATGGGTACAAAGGTGGAGTATGACCTAACTTGGAAAGAAAGGAAAATGAGATGGAAGCTAGAAGAGATAGCAAGGGAAGAGAGAGAGAAAGGAAAAAAGGTATGGGTAAAATATGGAAGGATACAGATAGAAGAGAAATAGTGGAGATGGGATGAGATGGAAGAAAAATTGAGAGACAGTGAAGGAGAAACAAAAACAGAGAAGGGGGAAGGGGACAAGGGGAAGAAGGGAGGGAGAGAAAAGTAAAGGAGGAGAGAGGAAGGAAGGAGGAGGGGAGGTTATGGAAGGTGAGGTTCTGAAATGTGGCAGGGCTGTGGAATAAGGGTAAGGAGTTCTGGGAGAGAATAAAGAATTGGGATGTGGTCATGATGATGGAAACGTGGGTTGACGAGAATGGATGGGAAAAACTGAGAGGGAGATTGCCGAAGGAATTCAGATGGAAGGTACAAATAGCGAAAAGAAGAAGTAAAAAAGGAAGAGCGTGTGGAGGGATGTTAATGGGAATTAAAAGAGAAATAGGAATAATAGAGGAGGAAGAGGAGGAACAGGAAGGAAGGATGATAGGGGTGACAAGAGTGGGGAGAAAAAAATGGAAGATTATTGGGCTATATGTGAGGGGAGATATGGAGACGAAAATGGAGGGGATAAAGAAATGGACGGAAGAAAGGGAAGAGGGAAGCAAGACCATAATTGGGGCAGACTTTAATGCGAGGACGGGAGAGGAGGGAGGATGGAGAGAAAGGGAGGACTGGAGAGGAGATGGAAGGGAGAGATGCTCGAAAGACAAAAAGGTGAATAAAGAGGGAATGAGACTGGTGAAAATCATAGAGGAAAGGGGATTGGTCATTTTGAATGGTGGAGTAAGAGGGGATGAAGGGGGAGAGTATACATATACAGGGGAGAGAGGAGAGTCGGTAATTGACTATGCGTTGGGAAATGAAGAGGTGATAGAGGAGATAGAGAGGATGGAAATAGGGGAGGAAGTGGATTCGGACTACCAACCAATTGGGATATGGATAAAGGGAGAACGAGAAAGGAGAAAGAAAGAAGGAAGAAAGAAAGAGAGGCACGATAGGGGAAGATGGGACAGGAAAGGAATAGAAAAATTCAAAAGGGAAATGGGAAGGATACAAGGGGGACAATGAAGGGTCGGAAATGAAATGAGGATGGTGGAAGAAAGGATAAGAGTGGTGATAAAAAAGGGAGGGGAGGGGAGAGAAGGAGGAAAAGGGAACAGGAAGGGGTAGTGGGATGAAGAATGTAGGGAAAGGAAGGGTGAGGTGAGAAGAGAGTTAAAGAAGTGGAGAAGAGGAG